TCTTTTAGGGACTTAGTATAATAGAACTTATTATATAGTTCTTCTTATAGAGTTTAACTATTAGCTTCTTCTATTAGTTAAATACGTAACGCGTAACGTTTCTTACTATACGCGTAGGGTCTCTCTTCTACTTTACTAGCTAGGAATTCTTAAAGTAGCTTTACTTCTACTTTAATCTATAATACTAACTTTATAAGTTAAATTATTTTAACTTAGTTATACTTAGAGTAAATTAAATAGACTATATAAATTAAATTAAATAGATCTAGTAGATTAAAGAGTATATATATTAGATAAATTAAATAGATCTAGTCTAGATTAAATTTAAAAAGAGTAGATTAGATTAAACTTTATAAATTAGATATTATCTAGTATTATTCTCTAAGGCTTACTCTTTATATAAGATAAATAAGATTATAGCTAGTAATACTTAATCTAGAAGATAGTAAGTAAATTAAGTTAATATAAATAGTAGATACTAATAATATAGTCTTAATTAGTTTCTATAGTAGTATTAACTAGAACAGTACTAGAGTGTCGGCTAGGGTGTGTTAAAATCCTCTATTAGCTACTCGGTATGCTCCGGTCGTCTCGGGGATCCCCGCTTCCCGCTTCCTTCCCGCTTCCTTCTCCGCTTGCTTCTCCGCTCCCGCCTCCGCTTCGTACTTCGACTTCAAGTTCCTCTATCTCGAACTACCGCATTCCATCAACCCAGATATTGCCTCATCACCGCTGTCCATATTCGCATGTATGTCGTCGCCTCCAGATAAGAAACAGCGCACTGGAAGCCACTTCAACCCTCTGCCTCCCTCGCCGCCTTCCTCATTCGACTCGGCTCTCCCGAGCGCACGCGTCTCACGAGACGACGAGGCCGCGACTGCGTCCTCTTCCCCTACGAGCGACCGAGTACACAAAGTCATCGACAGCTTGCGCGCATTTTACTTTGGCCGCCACAGCGAGAGCGACAATTGGATCACGTTCCACCTCTCTACTGCGGAATTTGCGCGCCTTCATGATCGAGTTCTCATCGCGCACGGAGATTGCGACAGCGACAGCGACACGGACTTTCTGCAGTGGTGTACAAGGCTGCGTTGGGACTGGGATCCTGAATACGAGGAGTTCTCAGTACGCATGCTCGATGACATACACGAGGTATTCATCGCCCTGGTGAGGGACGAAATTAAGAAGCAAATTCGATCAGTGGTAGAACGCTGGAGACAAAGACCGGGGTTTGAGGACGCAGCTGAAGTGCTCGCTGAAATTGGAGATGAGGGCAGCACAACGATTAAGTTCGATCATAGACATCATGTTGCAGAACCGGATACTTCACAGAACAATTCGCTGGCAGCGGATGCCGCCGGAGGAAAGGATGAGGCTGGAGATCAGGACGAGGCTAGAGATCAGGACGATGCTAGAGACCAGGACGATGCTAAAGCGGAGTACAATGAAGGCGGGGCAGCGACAGCTTCGGACGAGGCCGGCAAGGAGCGTAGTGGAGAAGAGCAGGAATCCAGCGAAAACCCGCCATCTCGCGAGTCTCCGCAGCCACATCAGAGGTCACCTGACATCCGGTTCTGCCACGAACAGCAGCGACGGTACCCACCTTTGGTCATGGAAGTGGCCAACTCGCAGTCTGCTAAGAATCTAGCGCAGATAGGAGAGGCTTACATCCTGGGCAGCGACAACTGGATACGGACTGTCGTGGGATTCAAGCTTCCATACAATCCGCCTAAGCAACCGAAAAGGAAGCAGAAACTTGCGACGAAAGTGCGCTCCGCACAGCTGACAGTCTGGCGCACTGTATTGAAGGACGGTATCGGCGATGTCAAAGGTGGGAGAACCCTACAGTTCCGTGATCAACAAGGCCGGCCCTCTGCTGGGAACTTCGACCTTAATGTGTATGACTTCATGCCTCCAGCGATCGCCGACAGCGACATCCTCACACGGCCTCAACTCGACTTCAGGCTCTCTCGCATCTCGTTCACTGAACTCGCTGAGATGCTCGACCACGCAGAGCAGCGCAAGAAGGAGAATGATCGCCCCCTAAAGACACCATATCCTAGCGGGCAGACTGGTACGAGGAAAAGAACGAGGGACAGCCCGGATGCAGAATTCGTAAGCACAGTTGCGACGCACGTAGGCAAGGGCAAGGAGTCCGAGTTGCGGCGGTCTAAAAGGAGGAAGAGTCAAGAAGGATCTACGTGACAATGCCGCATGCGAGGATATGATGGGGAGTTGTGGATTCCTGCGACTCTTGATAATGCCCGCTAGCAAGCGTAGGGTTCCAAACGATGCTGTATGCAGCATGCGCGTATGAAAGATGCTATGAACCATGGCACACTTTCTCCTCCCTTCGGTGTCCAACATTCAATCAAAGCTCTGAAAGGCTTTTCGTACACGGCGATACAACGAAACATCTGTCGTTTCTAGATGTCAGACGGGCTCGAAGAGAATCAAAGACCAGAGATCCGAGTTGAGAAGTTCACGAGTGGGTCTTGTCACTCGCACGCGTCGTGAGAAAGCCAGCTATATGATCGACACCTGCGACCAGGTGACTGCTCCTAACGGAGCGTACCATCACGGTGGTCTATTGGAGCACGCATTGAGCGCCTCATACACGTATGTCATCCGGATAGTTCGATCTTTCTAAACAACTAGGTCGCGATTGCTGATGGATCGACCCAATTGACGATGAAAATGGCAGCATAATGGAAAAGTCAACCCCCGAAGAATGCTATCGAACCACGCACGACGAACGACGACCGTGCTTCCGGCGAGAACAATCGACCAGATAACGAATAACCTATACTGGGTGTCTTGAGAGAGAAAGAAATGCTTGTGGACGAGCATGTGAAAGTCGCTGGCCAGAATGCTAATGCTAAGAACGTGATCTCGATGCCTTGTGCGCGAGTCTTTTTATGCTAATTCCCGATTTATCTCCGCTTCCACTGCCTGTCACAGTGTTACTTGTGACTTTTTATCACGACAGCGCAGCACCGGCATCGAGGCGCTAACGACGACAACAGTGCCTGCATTCTCGCGGGCTTGGCTACGTATAGTATGAAGGGGATGCCTTCTATTTCACCTCGCAGCATTAAGATCCGCTGCACTCCGCCCCAGGCCCCGAAAAGATCCTGCGATTCGACTGTCATCCGCCGACTACACAAGCTCATCTTACCTCCTTCTCTCCAGTCTTCACCGCGGCGACGGCCATCTTAATCAAGCGTTTTCTGCGCGTTGTCAAGAGAGTGGGCGAGCAGCTAGCAGTCAGATCTTTAGAAACGTAGGGAACGACTGTCAACGTTAGCCCCGACTCAGACAGAGATACGAGAGAGGCAGGTCGATCAGTGTTGGGCTAGACGTTCCTGTATGGCGGTGATATGGGCATTCTCTCCCATTTCCTCAAGCAATACGCTGAGCTCGCGAGCTCGAACGAGTGTAGCATTTCTATGGCGGCCCAGGAGCTTCTTGGTAACGATGCAGAGAGACTCAATGCGGCTCTCGAGCACCGTCTGACGACATGGGTGCCCTCGCCTTCAAGCCGGGCGAAGTGCAAGAGGAGCTGGTAAAGAATGAAGTCAGCAGCCCATAACATATGGGCAGAATAACATTGTACGCTATCTTTGGAGAGGGCTGTACAAGTTACCGCTTTCTCGATGTTCTGTATGGACTCTCTTTCCTGGAGATCGACATGAACAGTGCGATCGATGTGGTACGGGAAGAGCATCTCAAGCGCCAGCAAGAACTTACAGCACGGAAGGGCAAGGCATCGACTGAAGCAATGTAGCAGGCTGGAGATGCTCGGAATGCCGTGGACATGCTAATCAAGCAAAGACGGACGAAGAGCAAGCATATCGAGCGAGCAGGTACAAAGAGCAAGCACACTCCTCGCCCGACCATTGTGGTACAGGCTTACAGCGTTCTTGCGCCAAGTCGCTCGAACAGTCATGTACCAGAACGTGACGGGAAACCCCGTGCTGAGGCAGGCGGTGGTGGCTCAAAACAGCAGCTCAGTCACCGGTATGACACCCCTGGGCACCAGTTGCAGGATCGGCGGCTCGAGCATGACATGCCTGGAAATACAGCGGCTGACCATGTACACACGCGATCCACTCGAAATGAATGCCAACAAGCTCAGAGTCATCTGGGAACGTAGATCCGTGAACAGACGTCTGGAACTACCGTGATCCAGACTCACGTGAGTGGCTTTACTGTATGTGGACAGTCGGGAGAACCGGCATTTGGAGACGGCGCTGGATTGGACGAGGCGGAGCTCGTTGTGCCTAAGGACTTTGACTACCCACTATCTGTTGACGTTTCGTACGATCTCGATACGACTGGGGTGCCCAGAGCCACGGTCTTCTGGAGATTTTCATGGCGGCTGTCGACACTCTAAGCAACAGCGCCTGGAGAACAAGTGCGAAGAGTCCCGCAATCGATTGCCAGCGTGATGTTCCGTCTTCTTCGCTGAGTCTACGGTACCCGACGGATCTGCGTCGAGCGAGAACGACCATGCTTCCGTCGTAGCTCTCGCCACGTACCAGGCCTTCGAGATACATGTATAGCCCGGCAAGGGAGACGGGGGACAAGGTGAAGATGACACTGAAGCCGAAGTCCATGACACGTTAGCAGTATTGCCCCAGTGGCTCGCGGATCGTATCACGATATGATACCGGCATCCCTTAAAGCGGGAGATGATGGAGCAGCTGCGCAACGATCCAGTTGCTAGGCCGCGACTGTTCTAGGATAACATGAAGGGCATTGACTTCGTCTTGCTCCCGCATCACAGCGACAACGATCTCCTGTGCTAGCAATCGCCAGTACTATTGTCTATCTCTCCTACGGCTTGCCACTGCCAAACACCTTCAGAGCATCAATAGTGTGAGACAGAGCTCTGCAGTGTGTTGCAGCGGGCAAGTTACTTCCCTTCCCCCGATCCGACAAACACCTCCGCGACAAGACAACCAGAGTCGAAGCTGCGGCGTACCTCAGTCACCACAGCTGCCGATCGCGGCTTGGCCATGCTTGCTGCGAGAGAAATGACTCTGGATACCATTAAGAATCACATCAAAGAAGTTGACGTTGCTCGAAAGTTGGTTCGGGCCGTGTTGGAGCAAACAGAATCTCGGCTTCCGTATAACAGCGACTCAGAAGACGCTAGTCAGTTACGTCAAGATTTGGCGTGCTTAGAACGCCAGCAATCGCAGGCATCTAGACAGAGCGCTGTGGTCTTACTGACATTCATCGACAACTTACAGAAGCAGCGGCGAAGCAGGATAGTCTTGTCGAGAAGAGAATTCCGGTCACTATGCTTGACAGTGACCGCACCCAGCTCGGCGATCTAATCGAGCAGCAAGCGAATATGATCTTACAGCTAAAGGCAGGGATGCGAGAGGCATGGACTGCCTCCCTGCATCAGGTCATGGCTAAGTAACAGTGCAGGTAGTTCTCACTACGACTGTGGACCCGATCATGAATGAAATGAACAACTACGGATGACAAGCAATGGCTAGATGTTGAAACGACAACGTGTGCCTTGTGCCTTCATGGTAGTGTTCGGCAATCTTTCTGGAAGAACCAATGATGTGCATGACTACTACGATGGCACATGAACATCATGGTAGGTATGTATCCCGGTATGCTACGAACGATGAGCAATGCCATGTTTTGGTGGATGAGATTGATGTCACTGAGAACGCGCTGATCTGAGAACCTTATCTGTCCACGACAGCCTTTTGCGTGGCTCATTCGGGCATGGCAGTCGCGGAGACGCCGGAGAGAGCAGACGAGGCAGGAGTCTCACTGTGCTGTAGCGCGGTGATGCAGAAATTCTTCGATTGCTTTTCCATCTCCCATTCTGCGTTCAATGCACTCACTGCAGGTCGTTCACCATGTTCTGGAGGGCTTTAGTAGCTTATTCCTGATCTCCCGTGGCCAGATCCTGATTAGGAGGGTTCGTCGTACAATGTCAGTCATCCTACCTACCTCCTAAGGGAACTCCACTGCAGGCGATATGTACCGTACTCGCTAAGGTGAGTGCGCCGCGCAATCCCCATACAGCCCGTATGTTGAAATGGAAGGAGAAAGACGCTGTAGCACGGGTAGCGTGCGCTGAGTGCGGATGGGGCGGCTGAGACCCAAGACCGGTCCAAGATCGACTCGCATATTGGGCTTTCTTCGTGATTTCAGGTAATGTGACAGATCCGAGCGCTCCAAGACCTAAGCAGAAGTTATACCGATGGTGGTGCGGTACGCATGCCCCGAATGAAGCGACATGGCTATACTCCCAGTGACGGGATTCGGAGTGCTTCGACGACTGAGGTATCCCTGAGATCGGATCTTGAACACGCCCGATTTGAGCCTTCTGCTTCGATATCTCTCCCCCTACGCCGCTACATTAGCCGAAAACCAACCTTGCTGGTCCGGTGATAACCCTGTACAGCACCGAGCTCGCAGAGTTTCGTGGCGGAATTGCAGTGCGCACAAGTGCGATGGACCATAGGGTTTACCGGGTCAAAGGTAGCCTCTAGTAAGTAGGGACATGGAGTCTGCGATCTCTTACAGTAACAGCACTTTCGAACGCACACACCTCGGCGTCATCATGTTGAGTAACCTGTGCAATTTCCCGAGTTCATTACTTGTGGCACATAGGTACCTCTCCTCCGTGCCTACAACTTGCGTTCTGCTGGCAACTTGTCCTCACACTATCCGCTATATCATATGCCCTTGCTTGAGCATTGTACCAGCGAACCTGCTACAGTCAATCTGTCTAGATATAACAATGTTGCTGGATCATCTCTCCCTGTCATATGCGGTGATGCACTGATGCTCTTACATATCCGCGCTCTAGCTACTTCTTTCATCGCCTCATTCCTTCTCACTTGTGATAGTCGAGGGCTGGCTAACGATTGTGTCACCGGCTCGCGTTAGGCACAGACATTTGATGATGAGATCGATCGCTTCTTGATTCGACTTTCGAATAGGATACGCGACGTGGCGGCGGAGAGAATGCTCTAATGGAGCCGGGTGGGTGGCACGACTGCTGCTCAGGTATGAGTATCGAGAGGTACATGAAGCCATTGATTTGCTTGATGATTCCTCGTACGCAAGCGCTATGATGCTTAAATTTCATACCATCGCTTCTTTGCAAGGCTGTCGTCTAAAGTTTAAAGAAGAACTTAGTAAGCGGAGGCGGGCCGTTCTGC